CTAGCCTTATCCCGCCTCCTTGACCTGTCCGTCCTCCCTGGACTGACCTATCCCCTCCCTAACTCCCACCTACACTCACCTTTACTGGCTCCATCCCTGCCTCTTTGATCTGTCTGTCTCCTCTCCACCTATCTTCTCCTTTATCCATCTTCTATCCACCTCCCCCTCTCTCCCTATTTATTTTAGAACCCTCTTCCCCTCCCCTATTCTGAAGAAGGGTCTAGGACCGAAACGTCAGCTTTCCTGCTCCTCTGATGCTGCTTGGCCTGCTGTGTTCATCCAGCTCTGCACCTTGTTATCTCAGAAGTATTCTGTCTTTTTTTCCTTTGTTCACTGATGGGATATGGGAGTTGCTGGTTGGGCCAGCATTTATTGCCTGTCTCTAGTTGCCCTTAAAGTGGTGGTGAGCTGTCTTCTTGAAGTGCTGTAGTCCATATTCTAAAATGTTATTGACATACCTCTTGGATGAGATGGGACTTGAGCCCAGGTCTTCCAGTTCAGAGGTAGGGACACTACCACTATGCCACAAGAGCCCTGTGAAGGGCATGAGAATTCCGTTCTCCCTCATGTAGTGATTGCCTTCTGTAATGATCCCATCTGATGTTACTATTGAATAAGTCAGATTCCAGAGTGAAATCTGGCTGGGATCATACCAATGGGAGCTTGTCCAGGGTTCTGCTACAGCTTATTAATTTTTAAACTCCTTCACAAAAATAAAACAACACCCATGCACCGCTAGTTTAAAATCCACACTCAACAAAAAATATCCTTCACCTTTCATCACGTTCCTCGCTAGATGCTTCTGCGATATTTGCGTCACTGACTCCACGTGGCAGGCTGTTCCACATTCTCACCACTCTAAATGAGGAAGATTTTACCTGTGGATTCTGTCTTTTACCTGTAGTGCTCAGTAAATGAGAGTTCCTATGTTTTTGCAGCACTGGGCTATGGGTTGCTGTGTATCGGAATGGCATACGTCGCGTCGCTGATGGGCTCAGTGCTCCAGGTGCTGTATGACATTGCCTCTCTTTAAATGTATTTCTATCGCTCTCTACCAGCCTTGGTTTTGACGTGTCTCTCTTCTTTTCAAAATCAGGCAGCGTTGAGTATTTTTGGGATGGTTGGTGGTCCACTGCTTGGAATCTTTTGCCTAGGAATGTTTTTCCCCATGGCCAACTCTACGGTGAGTTAATGTGAAACCAGTTACTTGAAAGTTTTTATGGTAGAGAGTGGTAACATTTGAGTACAGTCAGGGTATGATGACATAGCGGGTAATGCCACTGGTCCAGTAATCCAGAACCGTACGCTAATGATCTGGGGATATGAGTTTGAATCCCACCATGGCGATGGTGACATCTGAATTCTGGAATAAAAAGCCAGACCAATGGTGACCATGTACCTACCCACTTCACAAATGTCCTTCAGGGAAGGTATTTCTGACCTGGTCTAGCCTGCAAGTGGCTCCAGCTGCGTTGTTAACTCTTGACTGTCCTCTGGGCAAGTAGGAATAGGTGATAAATGTTGGCCTAGCCAGTGATGCCTATATCCCATGAACAAACCTTCCTGCTTCTGTGGTTGACTATTATGTTGTCTGATTTCTAACAGGGTGCAATCACTGGACTGGTAGCAGGATTGATAATGGCATTCTGGATTGGAATTGGCAGTTTTATCTCCAAACGTGCACCTCTTTCATTCGTCAATGCGACCACAATCCAGAATATTAGCACTGCCTTGACAACTAACACCATGACAACTGTCAACCTGACGACAGTAGCGCCGAACAATAGGTACGTTCAGGGCTTGCCCCAAAGTGCTAACAGATGGAGGGTGTTGTTTATCTAGGAGACAGTCACATTTTAAATCAGTGGGTCTCGCCTGAGGTTAACCTACAGTGGGCAGGGAGTGACAATAGGAATTTTGGTTTCTGATCACCACAATCCCGCACCTCCTAGAGGTTTCAGCTCAAAAGGGGGTCATTTGGGCTGTTGTGATGGCAAAGGGTCTCCGTAAGAACAGCACAGTTAGTCCCATTGCCCTGCCCTTACCACACAGTCCTGCAAATATTCCCGTTTAGGTAATGATCTAATTCCATTTTGAAAGCCACATTTGAATCTGCTTCCATCACACCTTTGGGTTGTGCACTGTCTGAGTAGAAATGTTTTTCTTGTGTTACCTTTAGCTTTCTTAGAACATTGAACGTAGAACAGTACAGCAAAGTACAGGACCTTCGGCCCACGATGTTGTGCCGAACTTTTACCCTAAACCTAAGGTCTATCTAACCTCCACCGCTATCTTATACTTTCATCCATATGCCTATCTAATAGCCGCTTAAATGCCCCTAATGAGGCCGACTCCACTACCCTCTCCGGCAATGCATTCCACGCCCCTACCACGCTCTGAGTAAACAACCTACCTCTGACGTCTCCCCGATATCTACCTCCTTTCACTTTAAAACTATGTCCCGTCGTAAAAGCTATCTCCACCCTAGGAAAAAGTCTCTGGCTGTCTACTCTATCTATACCTCTGATCATTTTGTACACCCCTATCAAGTCACCTCTCATCCTTCGAATTCTTCGAATTCATCCTTTCTTTCAACCAGTCACCTTAAATCTGCCTCCTCTGGTTCTCAATCTTTCCACAAATGAGAGCAGTTTTTCTGTCTTGATTCCGTCCAGACACTCATAATTCTGAGCTCCTCCGTCGCGTCCCCTCTCAGCCATCTCCTCCGCCCTGCCCTCTCCACCCCGCCTCCTCTCAGATATTCCCTCTGCCCTGCTCCCACCTCTTCTCAGACATTTCCTCCATCACATCTCCGTTCTAAGGTGAAGTCCCAACTTCACAATATCATAAGTGTTATGATGCAAAAGGAGGCCATTCAGCCTGACAAATCTGCATTGGCATTTCTGAGACCGTAAGTGCCTAGTACCAATCTTCTGCTTTTTCCCCATGTAAATAGTACATTTCATCTATCCAAATAATTTCCCAGTGCCCTGCTGAATATTTTAATTGAGTTGACCTCCACCCCACTTCCAGACAGTGTATTCCATGCCCTGACTACTTGCTGTGTGAAAATGGTTATTCTCCCTTCATATTTACTCCTATTGCAACTTCTTGTTCCTTTTATGAGCATGAACAGTTTCTTCCTAGCAACTATTCAACCTGTTCATGGTTTGTGAAACCTCTCTTAGCCTTCCTCTGTTCAGAACTTCCTTCAATGTATCCTCCTAACTGAAGTTCCTCATCTGTCCAACCATTCTTATGAATCACTTCTGAACTCAGTCTAATGTGTTTGTGTTTGCGTTTTTCCTATAATGTAGCCCCCAAAAGTATACAACGCCTTCAGTTTATCTACCTAACAGAAGTCTATCATCCCTGGAATAATTCTGGTGAATCTTTTCTGCCTCTTCTCTTAAGCTTTCCCATGCTTCTGAAAGTATGCTGGCAGAAATGCACATAATACTCCAGTTGATAACTCAACTGTTATTGTTGTTAGCCTGAAGCACAGTGTAACAGCAATCAGATGGTGATGCAATGCACAGTCTTGAAATAGCCTACCCAATTCTCCTCTTCAAATTAGCAATAAAGATTGGCCATGCGGACGTTGTAAAGAAACAACTGTTTCACTAAAGGTTCCTTAACGTAAGCTAGAGCTTGCATGTGTATAGCATTGTTAATAATTTCTAAGTGTCCCTGAGTACTTCAAATCAATAAAAAAAGTTTTTGTATTGTTGTAATGTGAGGAAACAAGGCACCCAATGTGCATACAGCAAACTCCCACAAGCAATAAGTTATTGACTGGATTCCCTGTTGGTTGGGACTTCAGAGAAATCTCCCCTGTCCTCCTTTACAATAATGTCCATAGGATCATTTATGTACACTCAGATGGCAGATGAGGTCTTAATTTGTTGTCGCATTCTGAAAGATGGCACTTCCCTTAACTTCAGTACTGCGCCCTGTGTCAGCCCTGTGTTCCAGTCTTTGGGTGCCTTTTAAGGAAGGAAACCTGATCTTTGTGTGACTTTGGACCCACACAGAACGTGGATGACTTTCAGATGCCCTGTATAACAGCCTAGTAAGTCATTCAGTCGACAGAAAACCTCACAATACTGAAGGAGGCCACTTAGTCCCTTCAGGCTTCCCAATGTTCTGAAAAAAAAATTGATGTCAGTGGCTCAGTTGGTAGCGATCTTCAAGTTCCACCCTGAGACTGGAGCACGAAACCTAGAATGAATGAAGTCTGCTATTGCCAAAGGTGCCACCTTAGGATGAGAAGTTAAACCGAAGCCCTGACTTCCTGGTCAAGGATGAAAAAGATTGTCAGGGCACTATTCCAACTAGTGATGCTGGTGGGTCTCTGTCTAAACAGCTTAAACGTTGCTGTTTACAAGAGATTGCTGTGGAGTTGGACTGTTGTTGTTCCCTATGTTATAACAGTTGAATACATTTCAGAAAAAAAATTCAGAGGTTGTGAAGTGCTTTGAGATGCTCTGAGGTGGTTAAAGGTGCTAGATAAATGCAGGGTTTTTTGTTTGTTCCTTTCTCCTGCTCTAATTTTGCTTTTGCTTGAGTAGCTGATCCACCTTTGCTGGTCTAAGGTTTTTTGTTCTGTTCTGTAGCCTCACAGGACTGAAGAAGTTCTACTCTCTCTCCTACCTGTGGTACAGTGGACACAATGCAGCCACCGTAGTTATTGTGGGACTGCTGGTCAGTTTCTTAACAGGTAAGGTAGAAGTTAATCCAGTGTGAATTGCTGCTTGTCAATTTCATCTTTTTCTACCACTAGCAAGAGATTCAGCTTCCAGTTTTGGGTATGGTGCTGTTGTCGTTTTGGTACTTTGGGAATAATTCACAGATTGGGTGTTAAAATAACTGTTAATGAGTCTGAATTCATCTTTTACATAGTAGGTGTCACCCAGAGCGTCCATTAAGACTGTCATGGTGGGAAAATTGCGATGTAATGGTAAAGTCACCAGAGGCATTTAGAGAGAGAGAGAGGGAGAGAGAGAGAGCCGGGTGATGGTTTAACCTGAGGGTCACCTCAGGGAGGAGGATAGTCCCTCATAGTAACCTCTGCCAAAATGGGGACTGAACCCACACCGTTGATATCACTCTGCATCACAAACCGATCATCCAGCTAACTAAGCTAACCAATACCCTTAGTGGTATTGTAGTGGTAATGCCACTGGACTAGGAACCCAGACACCCAGGCTAAGGCCTTGCGGCACATGGGTTCAAACCCCACCAAGGCAGCTGGGGGAATTAAAAAATTCAATGAATAAATCTGGAGTCGAAAGCTAGTCTCAATAATGGTGATCATGAAGCGATGATTGATTGTTGTAAAATACAATTGCCAACTGTTCCACACACATCCTTTAGGGAGGGAAATCTGCTGTCCCTACCTGGCCTGGCATACTTGCAGCCCACAGACCTACAACAATGTGGTTGACTTTTTACCACTTCCTGAAATGGCCAAGCAAGTTATTCAGTCTGAACGCAGTTAGGGATTGGCAACAAATGGTCACTCGATCACTAATGCCCACATCCCATGAAAGAATAAAGGAAAACACAACTTGCTCACTGATTTGTTTTTCCTGATGAAGGAAATATTCCATCCTTGCCTTATCTGGCCTATACATGATTCCATCCCATATCCAACTCTGAACTGATCTTTGATATGGTGTAACCTTATTAAGGTGTACCCTGCACCTTCTGAAGAGCTGCTGCAAACAAGCAATAAATGGGTAGAACCCAGCAAAGAATGTATGAAAATAACTCAGCTCAACAAAGCCAGTTGAGCTTTCTGACAAGAAGTGAAACTGTCTGCGGTGGCAGGACACTAACTGAGGGGGTTGGGAGTGCATCGGTGATCGACAAGGGAAATGGAGAGGGAAGTGAGGAGAAATATGTGTCACTAATGATAGTGTCCTGTGACAATTAACTGTGCTATGAAATGACTGACCAAGACTCTAAGCTTGCTCGAGTAAACTGCTCGATATAGTTTGCAGCTATTCAAGAAGAAAGGACTTAAGTGTTCTTGAGGGAAATTCAAGGGGACCGTAAGTTGCGGGCTGTGCCTGTGGAACCAATATCCTGAGAGTGACTGTTAAATAAAATCTTATTGAGTCTTCATTGTTTCTCCAGTTTGTGCATAGGTATTTGCCTTTCTATTGTCAGCCTAATCACGTGTAGTGTAGCTGATTTGATGCAGTGTTCTCAGCACGGTATAACTCTGACTATCTGACTGTCTAAATTTCTACAGCCAAGGCCATCTCTCCAGTTATTGCTCAGCTTTAAGCCTCTTAAATGCTCCATTGCGTGGGACTAATTGTGACCTGGCTATGTTTCAGTAATTAAAACCAGATCTACAAAGTTCACTGAAGCTGCAATGGAATGGCCTTTTGGAGAAATTGGAAATATTTTCTTTGGAAACATTGTTTAACTTGAATGCCACAGTGCTGAGTGCAGCATATCTCAAAAGCTGTTGAATTAGCCATTTGCCTCATCGCACTTTTTAATGTGATGCTGTCAATTTTTTTTCCCTGTGCGAAGCAAGGGTATAAAACCTTAAAATTGGAGCTAGGCTGTTGTGGGCTGAGATCAGGAAGCATTGCACCCACTGGTCCGTGGAAATCTGGAACACCGTCTCTAAAAAGCTGTTAATGCTAAGCGCCAAGACTGCACAAACAACTTGTTCACTGAATGTGGGCATCACTGACAGACCAGCGTTTCTTCCCATCCCCAAGTGTTAAGAATCAACCGATTTCCTGTGGCTGTGGAGTCATATGTAGACCCAGTGTAGATTTCCCTCTCTGACGAACTTTAATGAACCAAGTGGGTTTCGGTCACAAACAAACCCAGAAATTGCTGGAAAAGCTCAGCAGGTCTGGCAACATCTGTGAGGAGAAATCAGAGTTAATGTTTTGGGTCAGTCTGAGTGACCCTCACTGGACCCAAAATATTAACACTGATTTCTCTTCACAGATGATGCCAGACCTGCTGATCTTTTCCAGGAGCTTCTGTTTTTGTTACTGATTTACAGCATCTGCAGTTCTTTCGGTTTTTAATTCGGTTTTGGTCACCATTGGGTCAGTTTTCTAACTCCAGATTTTTCTTTTATTGAATTCAAATTTCACTATCTGCCATGGTGAGATTTGAGCCCATGTCCCCAGAACATTAGAACATAGAACATTACAGCGCAGTACAGGCCCTTCGGCCCTCGATGTTGCGCCGACCTGTGAAACCAATCTGAAGCCCATCTAACCTAAACTATTCCATTATCATCCATATGTTTATCCAATGACCATTTAAATGCTCTTAAAGTTGGCGAGTCTACTATTTTTGCAGGCAGGGCATTCCACGCCCTTACTACTCTCTGAGTAAAGAACCTACCTCTGACATCTGTCCTATATCTATCACCCCTCAATTTAAAGCTATGTCCCCTCGTGCTAGCCATCACCATCCGAGGAAAATGGCTCCCGCTGTCCACCCTATCTAATCCTCTGATCATCTTGTATGTCTCTATCAAGTCACCTCTTAACCTTCTTCTCTCTAACGAAAACAGCCTCAAGACCCCTCAGCCTTTCCTCATAAGACCTTCCCTCCATACCAGGCAACATCCTGGTAAATCTCCTCTGCACCCTTTCCAATGCTTCCACATCCTTCCTATAATGCGGTGACCAGAACTGTACGCAGTACTCCAAGTGCGGCCGCACCAGAGTTTTGTACAGCTGCAACATGACCTCATGGCTCCGAAACTCAATCCCTCTACCAATAAAACCTAACACACTGTACGCGTTCTTAACAACGCTATCAACCTGGGTGGCAACTTTCAGGGATCTATGCACTTGGACACCGAGATCTTTCTGCTCATCCACACTACCAAGAATCTTACCATTAGCCCAGTACTCTGTATTCCTGTTACTCCTTCCAAAGTGAATCACCTCACACTTTTCCGCATTAAACTCCATTTGCCACCTCTCAGCCCAGCTCTGCAGCTTATCTATGTCCCTCTGTAACCTGCAACATCCTTCTGCACTATCCACAACTCCACCGACTTTGGTGTCATCCGCAAATTTACTAACCCATCCTTCTACGCCCTCATCCAGGTCATTTATAAAAATGACAAACAGCAGTGGCCCCAAAACAGATCCTTGAGGTACACCACTAGTAACTGAACTCCAGGATGAACATTTCCCATCAACCACCACCCTCTGTCTTCTTACAGCTAGCCAATTTCTGATCCAAACCGCTAAATCACCCTCAATCCCATGCCTCCGTATTTTCTGCAATAGCCTACCATGTTTATTGACGTTACATTGGTCACCTTAATTTCTCTGCCCCCACCCTCACCCTCTCAAACCTAAAATGCTCTGTGCTCTCAGATCCCACCCTGACTTTGTCATCAAGCCTGCCAGCAGGGGTGGTGCTGTTGTTGTCCAGCGAACTGACCTCTACACTGCGGAGGTTGAGCGCCAGCTCTCCGACACCTCCTCCCATCATCCCCTGGGCCATGACCTCACCATTAAATGTCAGGCCATTGTGTCTGCGACTGTCACCAACCTCGTCTCATCTGGGATCTCCCCACGACTGCCTCCCGGGTCATCATCCCTAATCCCGAACAGCTGGCTTCTACCTTCTCCCCAAAATCCACACACGGGACTGACTGTGCAGACCCATTCTTTTTGCCTGCTCCTGCCCCGGAGAACCCATCTCTTCCTACCTCAACTCTTTTTTTTCTCTCACCTTGACTTGTTCCTTCCCATTTTACATTCACAATTCCTCTGACGCTTTACATCAGTTTGAGAATTTCCAGTTCACAGGCTCCAGCTGCCTCCTCTTTACTATGGATGTGTACACGTCCATCCCCCATCAGAATGGCCCCAGGGCTCTTTGCTTCTTCCAGGAGAAAAGGCCTGAACTGTCCCCGACCACCACCACCCTCCTCCGCTTGGGCGAGCTTGCCCTCACCCTGAACATCTCTTTTAACTCCTCTCCTTTTCTTCAGGTCAGAGGTGTGGCCATGGGTACCCGCTCGGGCCCCAGTTATGCCTGTCTCTTTGGAGGGTATGTTCCTTGTGTTCCAGTCCTACTCAGGCACCCACCCACAACTCTTTCTCTGGCACATTGTTGACATCATTGGTGCTGCTTTCCCCCCCCTCTCATTACAAATTGGAAAAAATTATCAACTTTGCTTCCAATTTCCACCCTGCCCTCACTTTCACCTCGTCCATCTCTGATTCCTCCCTTACCTTGTTCAACATCTTTTTCTGGGGATAGGCTAGCCTCCAATTTCCACTACAAACCCACTGATTCGCACAGTTACCTGGACTGTACCCTGCTTCCTGTAAAGACTTTCTGTCTCTGAAACCATCCCCCTCCCCGCCCCCCCATCATATTTTGAGCATAAGTACCATGTTTCCCTTGCTGGGTTCAATGTTAACTCTGCTTTCTTACCACAAGTGCTGCCAGACCTACTGAGTATTTGCAGGCCATTTCTGTTTTTGTTCCCCAGAATGTTAGCCTGAGGTTCTGAATTACCAGCCCAATGCCATGCCCCTAGGTCACTGCCTCCCCTAATTGAATCCGGCTCTAACTATAATATCAGAGGCAAATCACATCTAGGTTATGGCGCATGTAGGCTTGTTCTGAGAGGTTGAAGCTAAAAGTATCATATAGAGGCTGAAGAAAGACCACCCCACAGCACTTTATGGGTAGATACGATCTGATTGCTGGATTTCTGTCACTAAAGGATGTTTGGAGGTGTCTAGAATCTAGGAAGAAGCTAGAATTTAGTTCAAGATCGGCCATAATTGAATTGAATGAAGAGGCACCATTGGAATTCCTGCCCCCTCACTAGGCAGCTCAGGCCTGATCATGTGACTGTTGCTATCTCATCCTTGCAGATCGTGTTACATCTCATTGTTCAGCCTAATCGCTTTCTAAATGTATCATAAAAATGTCTCCATATGAGTGCCTCTGATAAATGGTATCTATCCATGTGCATGTGTGCAATATTTTGTGCCTACTTCTCTCTGTGTTAGTGTGTGTCTTTGTAAGTTAGTGCATTTATACGCCTTTCATAGAGATTCATTTGCTTCTGTGCACGTTCCAGGCCCAGTGAAAGGAGAAGATGTGAACCCGTCAACGGTTGTTCCAGTTCTGCGTTATCTGCTCTTTTTCCTGCCAGAACGATGCAAGGAGAAGCTGAGTTGTGGAGTCCGCTATCATCCTGCAGTACGTACAGACCCATCAATCATTTTTCATTCCTTCCCTCCTCGTGTTGCCCAAATGCTGAGAGTTCAAATCAGCAACAAGTGAAACTTGCCATCTGCAGCTCACCCCCAGTTTGGGTGCCCCCCGTCTGTGGCCTGTGCAGTTATGACCGCTCTGAATGATTCACTGGCAATGCAGTGCTGAGACATAGAGTTGTATAACACGGAAACAGACCCTTAGGTCCAACTCGTCTGCGCCAACTAAACGTCCCATTATGACTTCATCCCATTTGCCAGCATTTGGTCCATATCCCTCTAAACCCTTCCTATTCAGGTACCCATCCAGATGCCTTTTAAATGTTGAAATTGTACCCACTTCTACCACTTCCTCTAGCAGCTTGTTCCATACATGCGCCATCCTCTGCATGAAAAAGTTACCCCTTAGGCCCTTTTTAGATCTATGTCCTCTAATTTTGGACTCCCCTACCCTCGGAAAAAGACCATGGCTATTCATTGGCCGATGTATTATTCTTTGAGTGCGATGAGAGGATTCAATCTATCAGCTCAGCGAGATTAACATAAGAACATAGGAAACACGAGCAGAAATGGATTCTTCAGCCTGCGCTGCCACTCAGTCAGCTTATGGCAGGTCGCCTCTTTTCTTCCCTTCCAATCCCCATATTTCTTAATTTTCTTCCTGTCCAAAAATTTATCAAACTAGCCTTGAATCTACTTAACGACTAGGCATCCCAACCTTCTGCAACAGAGCTTTGCAACCCTCTAAGTGAAGAAATTTCCCCTCGTCATAGTCTTAAATGTCAAACTGTGGCCCTGAGACTTTGTTCGACAGAATGTTGTACATTCCCTAATCTGGGAAAGATACAGACTTCTGAATGTTTTAATGGGATCCATTCACGTTCATATAAACTCTGGATATTTATTCTGAACGCTCAGTGCCAGTTTGAGGGGGAATGTTGAGGTGTTTGCTGTTTCTCTGTTAATGTGATGTTTAAACGTCAATCTTTTGCCTGATTTGTGTCCTCTCTTCTGCCCCTCTCTTGAACACAGGGCAATGAACCCAGCTTGCAGCATTCTCTCATGCCAACCAAAGAGCCAAACGGGATGATAAATAATGACGTGATGAGGGGAGAAGAGAAGCAGGAGTTTGGAGCTGAACCGCCAAAGGAAATGGAAATCAGGAAAGGGGATCAGGCGGCAGAGGTCCTGCAAGAGACATCTTTGTGAGGGTGGATCCTGAACGGTTATATACTCCATGGGTCAATGATGCTGGGATATCGCCTGGGAGAGTGAAATAGTTGTACCAGTTTTTAACCAAGGAAAGCCCACAGCATATTAACGTAACCCATACTTCGTGGATAGTTGATGATCTTGTCATGCTGTGGTTTGCCTTTGCTACAGTTTGGAGCATACATGGGACTAGCCGACTCATAAATGGGAAGCAGGCGGTCAGAGAAAGGGGGCTAACTAATTAACCATTTACCAAGATGTCTGTCGGATTGACAGGCGGTGCCATGGATTCCACCCCAATAGGTAAATGTTGACTGCAGACCCTTTGTTGACACATTGCTATTTTCTGATGGGAGCCAGTTTATTCTTCACCAGGTCCGCCATATCTCAGCAGTTAGCTTAAAGCTGGCACTTAAGCCAATTTCGGTTTAGACTCAGGGTCTGGGTGGGCGGAGAAGTGGCCGGGGCAAATCAGAAGTTTTAATTCCTCAGGTCTTGGGCTACATGTTGGGTGAAGTTTTCTTTTGGAGAGAAAGCAGAGTTAATGTTTAACCCCCAGTCATTAACAGTACTTTCTCTTTAGTGTTTTAATGTAAATCTGTAGTTCGGATTGCGGTTGGAGTTGTTGGTTGGTTCGCCAAGCTGACTGGTTTCCATGCAATCATTTCATCTCCCTTCTAGGTGACATGGTCAGTGCTGTGTGGCCTCCATTGGAGCGCTGTTGTTCTATCCCGCTCTGAATTTATATGGTCCAGTCTGTCATGGTGAGCAGTTTTGTTTCAGGTTTTATACCGTGGTGGTATGTAGATGGGGTCTATTCCAACATGTTTGTTTACCCCATGGTTCACCCATCTTCAGTCTCATAGCAGAAACTTATGCAAAGACTGGAACGCACAGCCCTCCCCCAGATCCAGCCTAAACTATGGGTTAAATATGTGGACCATACTTTGGTGATCATTACACGAGCAAAGTTAGAAGAAACGCACCACCTTATTAACAGCATATTCACTGTGGTCAAGTTCACCCAGGGAAGAAGAGAACAGCAATCAACTCCCATCTCTAGACATAATGGTGGAACAAACAAACAACGGGTGAATTCCTTACCATTCAGAAAGGCCATTCACACCGTCCAAATCCTGAATTACAACAGTAACCACCCCAGTATCCACAAACACTTAAATTCTGTTTATGTGTGTGATAATTCACTGCAACGCCTCAGAGTTGTGCAAAAACAAAGAGGAAGACCTATACAGAGTCTCTACAAGGAATGTGTATCCCAACACCTTAGTCCGCTGATGCCTGACAAATAAACAACACCAAGAAGACACTGTACACCCCAACACACTGGCCAGCCTACCCTATATTAGAAACACATCAGAACTGACTACAAGACTCCTACGACCTCTTGGAATAAGGATAGCACATAAACCAACAACTACACTTGGCTAGTTCTCTCAAAAATGAAAGACCACGTACCCACAATGAGCAGGACTAATGTGATATACAAAATACCCATTCCACAACTGCAAGAGACACTACATAGGACAAACTGGCAGGAAACTCGCCACCAGGATACATAAACACCAATTCGCAGCAAAATGGCACGACCAACTCTCCCTCATTCCAATACACTCCAACACACGCACATGTGAATCTGTGGGCTGAATTTGTATTTGCAGATACTTTCTGTTCAAAAAGCACACAATTTATAGACAGTCAATGTGGCGTTTTATAAATTTCTACTTTAGAAATAAAACCAGTCTGACTCCAAACCAAAACACAAACAGATTCTAAACAAGGCCTCACACATAACATGCACTGTCTGACCTAAAATGTCACATCTTCTTTACACTGATAAAAACCTTTAATTCTCCCAGGACAGTGACTTGAAAGGAATTCAGGGATTTACATACAAATATTAATCAATTAAAACCTTATAACTGATTAAAGATTTAATAGCATCTTGGTTTGTTTAGTCATCCTCATCTGTGGTGTGACCCTTTGATCTTTTACTTATAAATTCTGTCTGATACTATCCCTCTCACTAACACTTGAAGGAGGAATGACGCTCCAAAAGCTTGTGTTTTCAAATACACCTGTTGGACGATAATCTGGTGTCATGTGCTTTCTAACTACTACAGTACTAGGACAAGCAAAACAAAGACAAGCACAAGAATTCCTGGAGGCCTGGTTTTCAACCATTGATGAGTTAAACAAACATAATGAAATAGACCCTATCTACATACCACTCCAGTACAAAACAAGACTGCCCACTATGACAGACTGGAGTATATCAATTCAGAGTGGGACAGAACAACAGTGCTTCAACGGAGGCTATACAGTACTGACTATGTCACCTAGAAGGGAGACGAAATGTTTGCATGGAAACCAGTCAGCTTGGCGAACCAACCAACAACTCTGCTTTCTCTCCACAGATGCTGCCAGGCCTGCTGAGTTTTCCCAGCAATTTCTGTTTTTGTTTCTGATTTGCACATTCGCAGTTCTTTGATTTTTTAATAATTTGGTATTTAATATTTTTCAGAGTTAGGATGTACTAATGACTGGTTTGTATGGTGACAGGCAGGTACTTTCCTACTTCTGCTGACAGAGACTCAGCTCTTGTGGTTTTGAAAACTTGGTTGAGTTAAGGTCTGAGGTCGCTGCTTCTTGTTATTCCTTTAACCCAATCAAGAGTCCGCTACCCCATCCCATCCCAGAGGTTTCTGTTATTGCTGCTCTGTAATATATTGAAATGAGATGCACAAGCACAGCCTCACTGAGTGAGGATTGCCACTTCCCTTCCTTCTCTCCCTGTCCAAACTCCCATCAGCCTTCTAGCTTACTGTCCTGTACCTGCTGACACAGCTGCATTTGAGACTGTGGGAAATCTGCCGCTCAGTCTCCAGTGCAGTGAATCCAGCGCTTCCATTCATTAGATGTCAGTCTGGTCTCGTTTGGTCACACTCTGGACTCGAGTTCTTTTATTCACTCGTTGGATATAGACATCACTGGCTAGCCCAGTATTTATTATCAATTCTTAATTGCCCAAAGGCCAGTTAAGAGTCACCCATATTGTTGTCTGGAGTCACATGTAGGCCAGACTGGGTAAGGATGGCAGATTTCTTTCCCTAAAGTGCAGCAGATGAGTTTTTATGACAATTGACAGTGGTCATCATTAGAATCCTAATTCTATTTTTTTTAAAATTCAATCTCCCACTAACTGCCATGTGATAAGATGCCCAGGCCATTGCCTGGATCTCTGGATTAATAGTCCAGTGACAACAACACCAGGCTGTTGTCATTCCTTATTCCCTTGCTTATTCTTCATTTAATTACTTGTTTTTAAATTGAGGTAGTGCTGTCCTATTGACATTCCTGATACACTGAAGGTCAGGGCCTGGCTCAGTGGGCGACCTGACTACACCAGTCTTTCCTCGACATTAGTTTTGCATTGTAATACTGCACTCTGAGTAGAACTGTGGTTTCTAATGCTCATCACGTGCATTGTGAGTTTCTGACTATCTTGCATACTTGTATGGTTCAGGCTTCACCGTCCATGTCAGCACAAGGTGAAATCGCATGAAAGATAAACAAAACACCGTAAATGTCAGACTGAAGTCTCACCTTTCACCCTCTTGTTATCACTCTGAATTTTCACCTTGTGAAAAGTTACACATGTTTACAATGAGAACTTTTCTTTAAAAGGTTATTGCAGATTTGTCAAGCTTGTTTCATCCCTAAACATGAACATGCTTTTGTTATTGTCTATAATCCAGGGAAAAGGAGTTTAAAAACATGACAGTTTGAAAACTTAAAATGAAAATGACGGAATAAAAGGCTCATACCAATTAAAATGGCCATGAAGCTGTCTGATTGTCCTAAAAACCCAAAGTGAACTGGATTTTACGACAATTGACAATGGAAACATGTTCGCCATTAGACTAACTTCTTCTAATTAGGATTTTATGGAATTCAGATTTCACCATCTGCCATGGCAGGATTTGAACCAATCCTCCCATTGCTAGTCCAGTGGAATGACCTCCACACCGCCTCTTTTATAACCTGTCCTGGGCCCATATCTATTTGCAATCTCTCAAGTCACACACCTGACTCTTAACTGTCCCATGAAGTGTATGAGGAAGCCCACCACTATCTTAGTGTAACTAGAGATTGCCAGTGACACCCACCATCCTGCAAATAATTTTTTATTTGAAAGCACTGAATCCTGCTCTCAGACTTTCTGTAACCTTTTAACTGATTAATTCCCAGCCCTTCCACATTTGCCCAGCATCACCAGGTGAACTCTGAAACCAGAGGGGCATTTAAAACTGACTGACCCTTAGCCAATACTCATCAGGCTGGGGGTGTGCTAAACTCTGAACACAGAGCTGGAATATGTTTGATCCAGTTGGACACTAAATAGAACCATTTCTCACAAGGTACAGTTAATTTAATTTTAATTTATGATATGCTTAAATTGTCATATCTGAAACTTTTAGAATGATATTTGTAAATGACAGCAAGATTTGTTGTTTAGTCTGTGCTGATTTTAAAGTTTGTCTTTCAAGATAGTCATATTGAATTTTTTGAAGTAATCAGTTCATTAGTTTGAGATAACTGTGTATTGTGTTTGGATGTGTCGTGGAAATGTTTAATTTTTTAATATTGAATTGTAAGCGTCATACTGCAGTGCACACTAAATGTTGTGCTGTGGCAGTGCAAAGCGTACATTGTTATGTGGGCACTCACACAGTGTATACCATTGTGCATGTGTTCTACCGTGTGTGTGTGCGCACAAAATATATTGTAATATCTGCTTGTGCTCCAACTATTTTGTTTGGTCTAACCAAGTTGTTCAAACTTAGGTGTGTACTTTGAGCAGGCACAAAGTCAGCTGTGCTATGAGGCACAGCAAAGTTCACATGGTTGTGCACAAAGTACACCATATCCTGTATGTTTATACTCAAAGCATATTGTTTGGTCTAATCAAGTTGTGAAACTGAGTCGATACGATATTTTACTTTATGTTGTGCTGTGTGATTGGGCAACTTTTTGCAATGGTGTCTATGTTCTAATCAGAACATGTTCAGTGTACAGTTGATTATTGTACAATCACAATAATACCTTGTTTATGCACCATGCTACAATCAGCACGGTATCTGGGCTGGCTCCAGAGAGAACAAAAATGACCATGAAAGCTGTCAGATTTGCTTAAACAGAACAGTAGTCCAATGGTTATATTACTGCACTACTGCATGAACTAATGATTCTGAGATCCTATCTCATTACTATAGCTGATGAATTTAACTTCGGTTAATAAATAAACCTGGAGTGCGAAGCTTGTCTCAATACTAATGGTGACCAAACCAGATTGCTGCTAAAATCTGTCTGATTCACTGATGTCCTTTATGGAAGGAACTGTGCCTTCCTTATCAGGTCTGGCCTACATGTGACTCCAGACCCGTATTGACGTAGCTGACTCTTAACTGCCCTCTGAACTGACCCAACAAATCATTCCATAATGCCACACTGCCTCCATGGGTTTAACAGACCAACTGTTAACTTAATCAAAGCTATCTCAGTTTCAATTGGTAGCCATATCTAGTCTTTTTGCGTCTATAGTGATTTAAATCTATCTGTTACAGTGTCGTACAATGTTCATGCATATTTTCCCAGAGAAAACAGT